ATACATTATATACATAATGCTCACTTTACAAATAAACATAATTTACACAAATTTTTTGAATTGAATAAAACACTAATGAATTGCTTCTATGCCCAATAGGATATACATAAATATATACGCTGGTCTTAACAATCCAGTCAAAAATTTCTTTAAAAAAATAAATTTAGTCTTGAGAAATTCGTATTTTTTGATGTTTGATGTTATGTTTATAAAATAATAATTATATATATGTGTGTGTGTGTGTTATTTGTTTTTTTCCCCTTTATTTTTACATACTTTTCTTAACAATATTTTTTTAAGGTTAAGACTGCTTTCCTGATTCCTATAGCAAAAAAAAACTTCAAAATGCTGGTGGCAATATTTTAAAGAGTGCATCGGACCGAAAAGAAGGTGAATGACGTCAACTGTTCGAAAATTCGATTCTTGGAAATTAACAAGTGGAAGAAGAAGTTTACATAGTTGTAATTTATAAAACTCAGCACAATTATATTATTAAAAAGTTTAAATGATTTATTATTTTTTTCTTATTCTCAAGAAGTTCTGTGAAAACATAAATTTGAACCTTACGTTTAGGTAAAGCCGTGTTAGAACACGTATTTTAGACGTCGAAATAAGAACGTCTAAATTAGGTTATTTGAAGACGTCATTCGGCGTTTCCATTTAGCACTAGTTCTGCACGTCCTAAATTCACGTCTTTTAGACGTCTTAAAACACGTCTTTATTCCGTCCTAAAAAGACGTCCTAATTACGTCTTAAAAAGACGTAATCTGGCGTTGCCATTTAGAACCAGTTCTGGACGTCCTAAAAAGACGTCCTTTCGACGTTATATGGACGTTGCCGTGCCGGCTGGGTATCATTGATTATCATAGAATTATATAACTTACAATCAAAGTACAATCTAATTATTAGAAGTCTAGTTAACAGATTAATACTCTTGAAAGGCTTATTAGTTTTAGAAAAAACGTTACGGCTCACTCACAGCACAGAGTGGCTCTTTCATTGACAAGATGCTATGAAAAAGCTGATTTCTCTCTTTTTTTAAAATAGGTGTAGATTATTAGGATTGTTATCCAATTTATTTTAATTTTATAATATTACCCAATAACGAAACTGTTTACTTAAAGAAAAAATTTTTGTTTTTAATTAATCAAAATTGACTCTTTTTCATACCCCCCCCCCCCTAAAACTGGCTCTTTCATACACACTCTCCCCTATATTTCTCCCCATCATTCTTACTTTTACTATACGTAATGAATTCAAAAAACATCATTATATATATATATATATATATATATATATATATATATATATATATATATATATATATATATATATATATATATATATATATATATATATATATATATATATATATATATATATATATATATATTATGGCGGGTTTCGTAAGTTTGTTTCCGATAAGAACTCTTTCGTTTGTTGTAATGCAAAATACTTTCGTTTCGAAAGAAATTATGTTTTTTATTAATATTTCTAAAAGTGAAACCATAAAAATTTAATATTTTCTTATACTAAAAATAAAAAATTCATTATAAACATTTTGGGATTTAAAGATGTTAATTTTTACAATTAAAATCGCTCTGGCAAACAAATTTTCTTTCTAGACTTCAAAACGTCGTTCGGTGAAAATGCTTGTTTCGCAAGTGCGACTTCCTAAACAGCTACTTTAGTATGTTGCAAAATAGTTTTATTTCGCATGTCAACTTGCGAACTGCTAAATTTTGGAAAAAGCATTTGCGAAATGAACATCGACGATTTTAAATGTTTTGTAATATTCGGTTCGAAAAAATGTAACTCCCCGTTTTCAATCTTTCTACGAAAGAATGTTGTTTTTCCGGAATTGTACGAAATCCTCGGGTTAACAACCCTACTCTACACTTGTGATGCTTTGCTTTCACAAAGGACTCTGGCAAGTTTTTTTATGACTTCACTTGGCAGCCAAACTGTAAAAGCTCGTCCGAGAATGTTGGCAATATTTCTAATAAAAGTGGTAAAAGTATTAGAACATACAGATTTTGAAATACTAAAACGATCATCAATATCCTTATTTAATAACCTTAAGCGCAACCTCATAAGCGTTATAAAAATTCTTCTCTGTGTGATTACAGTTTACATTTAGATATAGATTTTAGTTGGTTAGCTTTGCTTTGTGAATCTTTTGGGCCTCTCCAATAACAAATGGAAATTAAAAATGGTTTTATCAAACCAAAAACAACGTTTAAAATAGCATGGAAGATATACCAGTATAAAAGATCATTTTTTTATCATTGTTAACTAATCTTCAAGAAAAATTTTTTTTTGGACTTGACTGTTTGTTTTATTTTCAATTTTTTTATCTGGTTAGTAAGACTATTTACTTTTTACTGGTTAGTAAGACTATTTACTCACATAAAAGGTGATAAGTGAAGATTTGTATTCACATGAAACACATTTTTTTGGCAAAACATCTACATTAAAACTAACACTTGTTGAAACTCTGTGAAAATACTTTTTTCAGTCAACAAAGGTTCTACAGGTTGCTTTTTACTAGAACATGGTAAAGAAGTGATTGAGTGCTTTAATAAAGTTCTTCTAGCTTTTTTTGTTCAGGTTGAGCAAAAAAAACCTAGAAGAACTTTATCAAAAAAAAAAATTTGTATAATATCTTCTCTTCGTGTTGAAAACATATTTTATTTTTCAATTTTTCTAGTTTATAAGAACTATTGGTACACCCTGATACATTACAATTAACTTTCATCTTGAATATTTTATTACTAATTCGCAACTGAGAAAATAAATATTTACCCTACTTACTTCGTTCCAGGACTATTTCTTGCGCGATATTATTAATGGTAGAATTAAGCTCGAACTGGTGTATTATTCACGGTCGATTACGAGCGTAATGTTTAGGTATTAAAATGGTTCTTAGCTACCTAATCTTTTTTATATGCAACTGTTTTTTAGTTTATTTTAATAAATAAATGTCTTTTTTTTTAATTTGTCAGGGTTTTATTATTATTAATATTATTTTTTCATTAGTAAAAAAATAAAGGAGCTAAAAAATATTTTAAAATATTTTACTTTGTGTTTTGGCCAAAAAATTTTTTTGCAAATGAAAAAAACCTCCTCTATTTTAATAAGTCTATTAAAAACCAACAAATATGTTAACTACGACCTTAAAAAACTATGCAATTATCTAAATACCAACAAAATTTCCATTAACTCCAAAAAGACTGATTTAACTAATGTAAAAGTCGTCACAAAAAAATAGACTAACTGCTTAAAATAAAGTTAAAAGGGAAAAAGCTTTGGTGCAAAAAATTTCTAAATACTTGGGTCTAAAGCTAGAAAAAAATTAAACCTGGACTTACCATTTTAACGATATCTCTAAGAAATTGAATAGGTCCCTTGATAGGCTATTAGAGAGTGAACGATCCAAAATGTAGGCTCTACATATATGTTTTTGTAATTTTTAACGTGCTTCTATAAAACATCTATATTTCAGGTTATTATATTGCTTTTTGTTGTTTTTGTTGTAAAAAATAAAAAAAGTAAAAAATCACGTGTAAATAAATTCTCTATGAAAAGTTTCTTATATTTTGAATCAAAAATTTTAAAACAAAACTTTGCTTAATTTATAGAGCTTTATATGAGATTTTCAAAAAGGATTGGGCCATAAATGCTTTTTTTCAGGGGCCCTCGAGACTGTTGTTTACATACTAATTTTTTAATAAAGAAAATAAATTTTTGCAACTTTATGCCACTTTTTTTTTTAAATAACCCGTTATGACGTAAACCTCGTTTCAAGAAGTTATTTTCCTCAACAAGGATGAATGCCAAATACCGAATGTCGCCAAGTACCGATTACCGTAGAACATTCTCATTAGATGCCATCAACAACATACTAAAAACTTTTTTCTAAATATACTCATAAAATCTATATGATGCTTCTATAAAAGGATTTTTTGATTTTTTTAATGACTGCAAATTGATCTTCATTTTATATGATATTTATCTCACTCGTCGGATCTTATCTTCCGAGTTTAGTTATACATTATAAACTTTATTCTGATTAAACGATAATTTGTTGGACATTTCTGCGACAAGTCCAGGTATCAGACAAAAAAAATTTTGTTTTCCTCGCACACAATCTAACGGAACAAATATCTTCTTGCGGCTTTTCTCTGATTTTAAAAACGAACAATGAAATATTGCCTAAATCAAGGGGCCTTATATTTATTGCATAGCTGTTCAAAAACAAAATACAGTTTGTTTTTTGAACAGCTAAGCAATAAACATAAAGCCAAATTAATAGTTTTCATAGTTGCCATAAATTTTGTTCGTTTACTGTATGCTTTTAACTTTTTTAGTTAATTTATTTTCACTGAATTTTCTAAAATATCACGTTTTTCAATGACTCCTGTCAATAAAAACGTGTTGTTAACATATTAACTTAACAACTTTTCCTAAAACCAACAGTATTAGCTAATTTAAAGCAAATTTAAGATAACTTATTTAACAAGCCAAACAAAGCCAGGCTTATTCGAATTTTTACATTGTAAAATTTTTATGTTATCCCAAGCAATATTTTTCTTCTAAGAGATTTCTGGAAAGAGACCTTTACTTACATCTATAAAATAGAAAAATACTAGAAAGAAGATGTCATTAAATATAAATATGATTGCAAATGCATATTAGTCATCTTTATTAATATCATTTTTTTTTTTTGCCATGTTAATAACATTGCCATGGTAATAAGATTTTTACAATTATACTTTTAACATCGTTTTACTATAATCTTCTTTTAAATACATATGTACTTAAGAATTAGGTTTTCATAAAAACCTGTTTAGCAGAATTAAAATTAAAAAGTTTTATCAAAAAAAAATTTATTTAATTTTCCAGCACTCAATTGTGTGATAGAAGTTCACGGTTATACTCGAAAGTCTTAATTAAAAACTTGAATGAATATTAACCACGTGATAAAACTTAAAAGAATATTAACGACGTGATAAACTTGTTACAAAGTACATAAATCAGCGTAAAATAAAACTAAGCCAAAAAAAAATGATCTGTAAACTCGTCATCTCTTTGTTTTTGGTATTCAATGAAGTAGCGGAGGGAGGTTTTATTCCCAGATCAATGCATGAATTGGAACCAAAAGAAACATTGTATAAAAAGCTAGCCGAAAGTTTTTGTGTAGATAAAAACATGATGAACTTTAATGGTGACTATCTTCAGTTGTGCGTTAATGGTTACATTATCACACTTATTGATAGAAGTATGAAAGTATTTTTTTTATAAATTCTATCTTATCTTTTTTAAAAGAGTTTTTTTTTAGAAAACTCAAATTCTAAACCTAAATTTTGATCTTAAACTTCATAAATTTGGTCTTCGGGGATTTCCATAAGTTTTGGTCATCTACGGGCATTTCTATAAATTTGATCTTCTACGGGCGTTACCAAAAATTTGGTCTTCTACGGGCTTTTCTCATAAATTTGGTATTCTACGGGCATTTTCAAAAAATCACGCAAGAAAACTCGTATATATTTTGTCTATTATGTTTATAATAATAAAACTGGCAATTTTTAACTTACTCTCATTTTATTCTAATCTATACAGATATTTGGTAAACAAAGAAAACATTAGTAATAAATTAAAAAAAGTAATAAATTAAGTTTGAAGCAAAATCACGCACGGAATAGAAAAACGCAAATTTTAGTTACTAAATAAGTTACTATAAAAATAATAGAATAAAACTTCAATTCCTCAGAAAATATAAGTTTAAGCAGTACTATAATTTGTTTTTAAACAATATATTATTATTTAGTAAAGATTTCCTAAAAGTTACAGGATTGTATTAAGTATCATAAAGTCGCGAGATTTGTTTGAATTCAGTTCGTTTATGGCCACGCACAGTTGCGAGTTTGTCGATTTCAAGTATTTAACTTTATGAAAGTAAATTGCTTGTAATAGTTAAATAAAAATTTCTACTATGGATGTAACTCTTGATTTTTAAATTGATTTTTATTGCAATATTTCAAGGGAGTATTGATATCCTTTAACGAGGGTGTCTACACTCCCTTAAAATATTGTACTAATAATCAAACTAAAAATCAAGAGTTGCATCCATGGCAAAAGTTTTATTTAATTATATAAACTATTCTCTTTAAAAATGTCTTTTAAAAGTAACTTTAATTAATAACTTTTAAAAATTAATATGCTGGTTAGTATTTCAAGTGAAATATTATATCTCTACAACTCATATTTAATATTTGTTTTTGATATTTCAAGTTAAAGTATTGCGTTTAGAAAATCATTGTATATTTTTTAAACTATTGCGACGTTAACACGTCGCAATAGTTTAAAAAATATGCAATGATTTTTGTTATAGTTGTTCTGTATAAAATCATAATAGCATGCATATTGTATATAAATTATAAGCCCCAGCTTTTAATTGTAAAAACAATGAAAAATAAAAAAAATCAGCACAGAAATAGAAATGTTACAATATAATTATTAATTTATAGTGTTTTTTAGAATTTTATTACTAAGCTTTACTAAATTTTATTATTTTAATAATGTGATTATTTCGCAATTTATCAATTTTTTAATTAAATAACTGTCTTATTAACTCTAAATTGGAAAAATAATTTATCACCGTTCTTTATCTATTCTTTTTGTAACGATAAAAAATAATACGAAAGTTGAAACAGTAAAAAAAAAACTCTTAATTAATTATAATCAAAAATAATAATCAGATTTCAAATTTTTGATTTTCGAAGTGTTTTTTTTTACATATAACGTTGATATATTGAATACAATATTATAATTTATTGATATGTTAAATAAAATATTATTTTAAAATATATGTTTAAACTTTATTATTTGACGTTCATTTATGTAATACTATTTTAATATGCTATAATATTAATAATATTACTGACCAACATTGAAAACAAAGTTGATAACAGCTGCATTTCAACAAAACATAACAACCTACTATGAAATACCAATAATTATTGTTAAAAAACAACAACAATTATTTAAGAAATATAATAGTTGCAATATATACAATCATAATAAATATAAAAAGAAACAACCATTGAATAAAAAGTAAACAAAAAAATAATAATTTTACAAAATACTTAACAGAAAAACTTTAAATAAATATTTGCATACAAGAATAATAATAATAAAAAAAAGACGTGTTTATAAATATGCAATATTGAAAAAATGAAATAAAATAAAAAGAAGTTACATCATAGAAGGGAAAGCTAAAACTAAAATATTATGGAAAATAAGATAAAAGAACAAATGACACTTCACTTTTGTTGAGTAGCTAGTTAAGTTTATGGAGTTTAAAGTGTTAAGAAACCAACAGGCGGTAAATGCAACGTTACTCTTGTTTAACACACAAGGTGCTAACGCTAAACCGACAAAAAGTCAATCGTATTCTACTCATTACACTACGTTCGGCCTATATAATAGGGTGGAGCGATTTTAAAAATTTTCGAAATTTGATTAGCCTAAGCTGCGAATCGATATCTTTTGGTGAAAAAAGAGCCTTACTTTTTTTTCTTTTTTTTTAATATAAATGAGTTTTAGAGGTTCCTCTTTGGATTCTAAATTTATGACGGATGCTAATACTGTTGAAATTTTTTTTCTTCTAAACTATATTACCCTGGTACTCAAAAGAAGCAGAATAATACGCTTATTTTGAATATAATATTTGTTTAAGTTTAAAAGTAAAGAGAAAAAAATAATGTTGTTTTTTTTTATTAAAAAAACCCCCGTCTTCATCAAAACGGGGGTTTTAAGGTATATTTTTGCAAATATTTTTTTCATTAAAAATTTATTTTTAATAAAATTATTATTGATAAAACAAGCATTTTTTTTTGCTTTTTTTGAGTCCAAGGTTGGTATAGTTTAGAAAAAAAAAAATTCAAAAATATTAGGATCCGTCAAGGATTTAGAATCCAAAGAGAAACCTCAAGATCTTATCAAAACCAAAAAACATTTTTTTACTTTCATATAGACATCGATTTGTGTCTCAGGAATATTGATTTTTAAACTTTTTTTTTTGCTATGAAAATCGCTCCACCCTACTATATAAGGTCTACAATTTAACACTAATAATATCCCAACTTAAAATAAAAAAGACCCAATCAGAAAGCTGGCCCTAATAACATTTATCTATATTCAAATGCACCAACACAAGCCCACCTATATTATACATTTATATATATACTTTTTTGGCCCAAAAATAATAAATGCTAAGTATAACTAAAATAGGCTGCTCGGAAACTTTCGCAATGTCAAAAAAAATTTTCTTTTCTTAATATAATTTTGATTTTATACATTTTTTATGATTTTTTTTTGTGCGAGTGTCTTTTTACTTTTTAATTTTAGCATTGAAATAAAGTTTTTGCCTTGAAAAAAAATCACATCAGTCATTTCCCAGTGGGCATTTCGACGTCGAACGAACGTCGAGCGACGTCGGATCTCTACGTCGGATCGACGTTGGGTTTACGTTGGAAATGGAAATGTTATTTGACGTCGGATAAACTAACATCGCGCGACGTCGGCATTCCGATGTAAATCCAACGTGTTTTTTGAAAACTAAAAAACGTTGCCTTCGGCAGGAATCGAACCTCGGTCTATTAAACACTAAATCCTACGCGCTTACCACTACACCACAGGGATGGAATATTTATGTGTTTATTTAGTAATTTATACTTGTAGCTATTTGGGAATTATTACTTTGATAAGAAATAATTTTGTTTAAATATTATATAAATATTATAACGAATAGTTATATATTATAAAAAATGTATACTCGAAAATGTTAATAGTTAAAAAACTATGCTTGTGCATCATACAAAACCTCGTGATGTTTTATCAACCATTATTCAAACTTCTTTCCATTAATAAAAAATACGCTTAGTTCACATATTTATTGAAGAGCGCAATTGCACACATATTGTTGGGTTTGGATTAAATTTTCATCAGCGATGTCTTACGACGTTGTTCCGACGTTATTTTAAGGACGTTAAATTGACGTCGGAAGACGTCAAAAGACATCGGAGTACGTTAATATTATGACGTTGCCCGACGTCTTTTTATCGACGTTGGATCGATGTCAGTACTGCGACGTTTTTTGGACGTCTTTTATAAGATGTCGGAACAACGTCAAAATACATCGAAACGACGTCAGGGGATGTTAAAATAAAGACATCGCCCGACGTCATTTTACTGACATCGGAACAACGTCGGAATAGGTCTTTTGACATCGCTGATGAAAATCGTACGTAAATCCGACGTCGGATTGACGTCGGGTGCCCACTGGGTTATCACAACCTTAAATTGTAAAAAAAAAATGTTTGTAAAAAATACATCGTTTTTTCTCATTAATTGTTATTTATTGAGCAAATGAATTAATTAAAGAAGACCCCAAATAATGAATAAGCTGAGAAACTATTTCTAAAATGTGACAATAATAAAATGCATTACTTCTGTAGATAAAATAAAAAAATTTTAAGCAGAACGGAAAATAACACGCTTGATTGTTTTGGAAACGTTTGATATTGGTATTATTTGGTATTGATTATAAACGTTTTATTAAAATACTCGACATTAAATACTTATTTGTTGTTATGAACTTTTTTAGAACCTGTTTATAAAAAAAAATTATTTTCATGGTTTAAATTATATTATATTTTTACTTATTGTTATTTGTAGTTATTTAGTTAATTTTATTTTTGTTTTACCATTTTTTATTAAGAATCGTTGTTAAATTAAAAAATTCTTTATTTACTTTAACTACTCATTAATTTTTTTATTATTATTATTTTTTTTTTTTAATTTTATTTGCCGTATAATATTATTTACATCAAGATTTATAATATTATACGGACAGGACTTCAAGAAGATCGTAATGATCTCATCACGAAGCCCTTAACAAAATTCTATTTTCTTCTTCAATAAAAACATCTATATATTATATACAATAAATATATACCGAGAATATATAATCACTAAATATATCATAAATTTGATACTACTTACTTTAGAAGTGAAACTAAAAATAAAATATAACAAATCATTATGCAGTATTTTTTAAATAAAAAAAAAAATAAAAATTTTTTTTTGTTGAAAAAATGGGTTTTTTAATAGATTGTTTGAAAAAGGAATAGGTCAATTTAGATGAAAAAATAAAATTAGGCCGTACTATTTCATTCCAGAAAAAAGGTCCACGATAAGATATACAAAATTGAGCTT